GAATTTTTTGGCCCGTCGTGTCTGCCTTCCCTAAATGAAGAATACCTGAGAAGTGAAAGGCCCCACCTGAGGGGCTGATGTCTAGCTTCTCTCCCATTCATCTCCCCAGTTGATGAACACAGGATGCAAGAAAAAGCATTCTGCGCCATTCTGTCCTTCGGGAGAGATCAGCCTTAGAACTGCCACTCTTTTAAGTCTATGGCGGAACCACTCTCAAACTTCTGCTCACTGCACTTCAAAAACAGCATCGGACAACTGGAAAAGCAGGAAAAGGAGGGGGTGGGCTTTAGTATGTCCCCTACAATATTTTACTCTAGCTAATTAAAAAAAAGGCAAATAAGAAGAGAGGGGACATGTAGTATGGAGGAGGTGAATAATAGGGTAAATTGTTATTCCTATAATATCACTTTACCCCACAAAGAAGAATGGTGGAAGATTCAGACCATTGGAAGAAGAGCTTCAAACCTAAGCTAATGAAAGTGAGGGGTTTGTTCTCTCCCACTGTAAGATGGTTAATGTAAAGAGCTTTAGGAGATGTAAAAATGAGCCGAGGTGGCGCAGCAGTTAGAGTGCAGTACTGCAGGCCACTTTAGCTGACTGTGTTCAGCAGGTCAGCGGTTCAAATCTCATCGGCTCAAGGTTGACTCAGCCTTCCATCCTTCCGGGGTAGGTAAAATGAGGACCCAGATTGTTGGGGGCAATGTATGTATGTATGTATGTATGTATGTATGTATGTATGTATATATATATATATATATATATATATATATATATATATATATATATATATATATATATACACACACACACACACACATTGCTTACTGATGTACACCGCTTAGAGAGTGCTTGCACTTAAAGCGGTATATAAGTCTCATAAATAAATAAATAAATAAATAAATAAATAAATAAATAATTCATGGTGGATTCAGCTGTGGGTGCCTATGACCTCCGATGACTTTTTATTAAAGAGACCGCAAGACACCTCCGGATACCTGTTGCTAAACACACAGAAGAGTTATCGTTGCCCTTGGGGATTCACAAAGACCTGCTGGCCACTGGGAGAAACAGGATGCAGCAGCCCCTGACTTTGGTCTGACCCCAGCAGGGCTCTGCTTATGATCTCCTTCTCCTTCCTATTCCCATCGCTCTACTTCCAGGGGTGAATTGAGCATGGGGGATTTGACTCTGGCTCAGATGATTACCAGAACTTACAAGAGTAATTTCTGTTACAGTTGTGCTCAAAACTGGCCGAGAAGGCACCAGGATAGAAACCAGGAGACCAGGAGTTCTGCCTTACAGGTAAAGTCAGCTGGGTGACCCTGGGCCGGTCACGCAATCTCAGTCCCTAGGAAAAAGGCAACGTCAAACATTTTCAAAAATATTGCTAATAAAACTGCAGGCATTTGTCCAAGCAGTTGCCAGGAGTCAAAACTAGCTCAAGGATGCACTTGCACACACCTCCCCTTTGGAAGGTCTCTGAGGTCTTCACCCAAAGCTTTAGGGATGGTGTATGTATCTGGGGGCTCTGCGGGCCCATCTTGGCCTTAGAGAACTGAGTAAGCGACTGACACCTGTCTTGGTAGAGGCTGAATACAGGTGCCAGTCTAATGGCTGGAAGGAATGGAATACAAGCATAGTCACTCAGATGCCGAAGGTGCAGAAGCTCCGAGATGGAACACTTGGTCCAGCTTTCTTTCTTCAGACAAGAAACCTTTGCAAATATCTCTGTTTGAAACTTCACAATGAGCAGTCCTAAGCAACCTGGACTAATAATCTGCACAGACTCAAAACCAGATGGTTAAGAAGAAGGAAAATAATAAAATCTTATATATAAAATAGCCTATATTTGATTTTACACGTCACAACAGCGGCAAGAATAATATTTGCGCAATATTGGAAAAATGAAGGAATACCACCGGATGAAGAAATAATTAAAAAAAAATTAGAATGCGCAGAGATGGACAGATTGACTGAGACTGAAAGAAAAAGAAGAAACAGAATATTATCAAACTTGGACTTATTTTACTGATGGTTAGAGGAAAGAATAAAGGATTAGGAATTAAATATGTATTAGCGTATTTAAACACAAGACAGCATGTTGGTTGAAAAATTATTGTTGTATATATGGAAAAATTAATAAAATCTTATAAAAAAAGAAGGAAAAGCCCACTTGATGAGATGTGAAATGTATCACAACCAATTTCTAGAACATAAATTTGAAGAGCCTGAAGACAAAGATAGTTGTAAGTAAAAGAAAGAAATATAAAATGGCTTTATTTGATCCAAGTTAAAATAGATATGTTATCTCTGGTAACCCTTAATGGACTTTTGCTGACATCAGCACTGAAATGATGAGGTTTGTATTTGCTTATAGATAAGAGATGGGATATGAAAGGAAGAGATAATTTGTTGTATTTTAAAATAGGTGATAATTTACAAAAATATTTAGGTTTTGATGAAGGGGAAGGTCACCTTATATATTACTTTTTTTCTTTGCTGTATTGTTTTTTTCTATTTTTCTTTCCTTCTCTTCTGCACTTTCTGTTTTTTCTCTTTATTTTTTCATGTTTTGAGCTTGTATTAATTTTTATTGCAAATTGTAATCCTTGATAAAATTATTATATATAAAAAACAAAAATATCGGTATTTTAGAGTGTTTCACAAAGATATTTTCAGTGAAGATTTAAGAGCGGGGAGGAAAATAGAAGCCTACAAAATGAAAGAGCATCAAGCATAAACCTTCAGCTTTAAAAAGCTTTGCATCACTTCTGAAAGATTCAAGGATTTATTTTTCTCTGGTGGAAAGGAATAAATGGGGTCATCTACCATGCTTGGCCCGCTTATACACAAATGGAGCTCAAGAGAGGATTTGATCTATCAGTGGAATATAGCAGAAAAGCAGAGAGGTGAGAGGGCTTGATAATTGTTTCTGCTGCTTTCTTCCTGTGCAACTTTCCCTGAGCAATTGTTAAAGCAATCCATGATCACCAAACTGATTACGTCCTATTAGGATAAATCGATACATTTCAACTTTATCCAAAGAGGCAGCTACTAATTCACAAGGCAACATCTGGTTCTTTCTCCAGAAGTCCCTTTGGTTTGGACAAATGCAAACATTTAATTTATCAACTACAGTCATGTCATTTTTCAATTTCCAGAATATGACAATTACAGCTAGATACTCACACACATAAATAACTGCATCATCTTCAAACTCTTGATAGCAGAATTACAGATGCATTGGAAGATAGAATATTGTAAGTAGTTGGTCTCCAAAATGGAATATTGCAATTTGCTTTATGTGGGGCTGTTTGCAAAGATAATTTGGAAATCTCTGTTGGTAATAAGATGGCTGCCAAGTTGGGACCAGAACAACTGCCTGTCAGTTCGTTATTAGGCTTAATGCTAGTTCACTGAATCGTGTGAGGTAGAAACTTCTCAGCAATTCTCAGTTACAGAATTCCTTCCACCTGGTTTCTCTTAGCCTCTCCGGCAACCTGTTTATAACCCAGGAAATATTTTCTGTCATTCACAACAATTTCCTTTAGTAACAGTACACTTCTCTGAAGTATCACACAGAACAGTGTTTTTCAAACCTGGCAGCTTTAAGATGTGTGGACCTTAACTCCCAGAATCCCCCAGCCAGTCAGGCTTGAAAAACACTGACAGAGAATCTTCCAACTCTCCACTCTGTATGCCACATTGTGAAGCTTTGCCCTGAAAAGCGGCTTATAAACATTTTCAATAAATAATTATTTCTGACCTAATCTTTGTCAGATGCATCTATCGGTGTGCCTACAGGGAGACATTTGTAAATAGATGGACCTCTATTAGTGAATATGTATGTCCATGTGGAAGATTGCTATAGTCTACAGTGCTTTTCAGATATGAATGACAGCTCTGAATATTTCTATCTGAAGGATGCCAAAGGAATGGAAGACTCATCTAGAGAATATTAAGCTCAAACCAAGAGAACTGTCCTAAGCACCCTTTGACCCATCATGACAGGAAACTCTTGTTTCTACCATCAATGGTTCTTAAAAGAGGTTCTAGGACAGTGGTTCTCAACCTTCTAATGCCGCGACCCTTTAATACAGTTCCTCATGTTGTGGTGACTCCCAACCATAAAATTATTTTCGTTGCTACTACATAACTGTAATTTTGCTACTGTTATGAATCGTAATGTAAATATCTGATATGCAGGGTGTATTTTCATTGTTATGAATTGAACATAATTAAAGCATAGTGATTAATCACAAAAACAATATAGCAGTGCTCGCTGGAGAAACTTGCTCTTCCTTGCTCAAAAATGTTGGGAGGGAGGGAAGGGGAAGGAAGGAAAGAAGATTGAAGGGAAAAGGAAGGAGATGGAAAAGGAAGGATATTGAAGGGGAAAGGAAGGAAGGAAAGAGAGAGAGATTGAAGGGGAAGGGATGGAGATGGAGATGGAAGGAAGGAAGGAAGGAAGGAAGGAAGGAAGGAAGGAAGGAAGGAAGGAAGGAAGGAAGGAAGGAAGGAAGGAAGATTGAAGGGGAAAGGAAGGAGATTGAAGGGGAAAGGAAGGAGATTGAAGGGGAAAGGAAGGAGATGGACAAGGAAGGAGATTGAAGGGGGAAGGAAGGAAAGAAGGAGAGAGAGATTGAAGGGGGGAGGCGTTGCCAAGGACACACAAGCAGCTCCGCACAATTGCCCGGGGAGGGGGGGAGGCTCTGGCGGAGAGCCTGGTGGAGAGCCAAGCGGCGGCACATCTGGGGCCTCAGAAGCTGCGCGGAGGATCCACGCACCTTGGAGCCGCCAGCCACCCTCTCACACCCGCCAAGGGATGGAGATGGAAGGAAGGAAGGAAGATTGAAGGGAAAAGGAAGGAGATGAAGAAGGAAGATTGACGGGAAAGGAAGGAGATGGAGAAGGAAGAAGACTGAAGGAAGGAAGGAGAGGGAGATTGAAGGGGAAGAGATGGAGTTGGAGATGGAAGGAAAGAAGATTGAAGGGGAAAGGAAGGAGATGGAGAAGGAAGGAGATTGAACGGGGGAGGCGCTGCCAAGGATGCACAAGCAGCTCTACACAATTGCCCGGGTGGGGGAGGCTCTGGCGGAGAGCCTGGTGGAGAACCAAGCGGCGGCACATCTGGGGCCTCGGAAGCTGTGCTGAGGATCCGCGCATCTTGGAGCCGCCAGCTGCCCTCTCACACCCGCCAACCTAGAGTGCCCCATCCACATCCCGGCACCTCTTGCCCTCTCCCAGCTGCCCCCCCCAGGACCTGCCCACCCCTCCAGCCTCCTGAGCACCATCGCAGTGGTGGAGTCACGGGAGCACCTTTCCACGCTGCGCAGCCCATCGCACGCGACAGGGGCGCAGCCGGAGTGCCAGCTCCCGCTCGGAAGGCACCGCTTCTCCCCTCCCGGCCCTGCTGGCTGGCCTCCGATGCACATGCAGGCATTGCCGCCGCCTCGCCCTCTTCCACGCCCCCTGGCCACTTCTGAGGCCTGGAGCCCGGCGAGCCAGGAAGGAGCCGCTCCTGCCCGGCAGCCCCATGGCCACACCGGGCGCCAGAGGGCCAAGGCGGCCTCCAATGGTGAGGGAGGCTGGCCAGGCGGCACGGGGGAGGCTCCCATGTGGCGTGGAGGGTGGCTGGGGGCAGAGCGCGGCCAGGCAACCAGGAGGGGTGGAGACCAGCTCGGCGCTGCAGCTCAGCTCAGCCGGCAGCGGCAGTGCCAGCAGCGACCCAGACCTGGCTAGATTCGACTGCTGAGCAGGCCCAGGGTGGCGTCGGGGGCATGCGCGATGGCGCTGCAGCAGCAGGCGCTGTCGGAGAAGGGCGCCCTGGAGGCGGAGGACCCGGCGGAGGAGGGCGGCGGCGACGGCCGGATAGAGGAGCAGTGTCTCGGTTTCTAAGACCATCGGAAATATGTGTTTTCCGATGGTCTTAGGCAACCCGTGAAAGCGTCATTCGACCCCCAAAAGGGTCGCGACCCACAGGTTGAGAACCGCTGTTCTAGGAGCTTTTCTGAAGGATGACCTTGGAAGAACAGAGTTATGAACTGAATGACATTATTATTACTTACTACCTAAACATTTCCAGTTACCTCTTCAAACTATTCTTTTCTTTTCCAACTTCTACCTCAGTAGGCTATCTTCATGCAGATGAAGTAGCTGTGAGGGTACTTATCACTAGGGCTCCCTGGCAAGGCTGAGATTTTGAAAAAAAAAAAAAAAGGCTGTCAGTGCCATCCTAGGTATGTCTCCCCCAAAAGAAAGACCTAGGTTCTGGGTAAGATTTACACATTATGGTTGCAGCCTAAATCTACTAAATGAAGAATGGGCCTCCTTTGGAAAAATCTACCTTTTTCCTCTGAGGAAGTTCTTATGGTAATCCAATTCTCTCCTTATTCAGCAGAAATCTAAATATTGCAAAATCATTGGATCAGATCCAATGTTATGATCTTTTTTGTGTGACAGTCATTAAGCGAACATGGCAGTCATTAAGTGAACCTATTATTCACTATGGGATGCTTTTTGCTGGAAACTTGAAGTAAACACCGGTTTTTGACAAAAACGTCATAAATTGTGGTCACATGAATGTGAGCAGCCATAAGTGCGGACGGTTGCTGACATCCAAAATGCAGTCATGTGACCAGGGGATATCAGAACTTGAAAACTGGGTCATAGGTACCTTTTTGGGGAGATCTGTTCTAATTGTAACCGGTTGCTAAATGACTGGTCGTAAGTTGAGGATTACCTGTAAGGCAGAGATCTCTAAAAAGTTATGCTATCCCAACCTTGTATTCCACAACTGTTTCCAAACCTGCCTTTCTTACACAGTATCTTGCCTTTCTCTAAAATGGTGAGCTTATTTTAGCCATTCTAGACTTACTCAGCATTACAATGATCTTCTAGAGCGCTGACTCTCTTTGTGTTGACTAAACCTAAAGCCTTTCCCCAACACGTGTAAGCACTCATCTCTGCCTGTTACAACTCTTGGCATTATCTAAGTCATTAAATAGTTGTCATAATTCTAGTGGTCTTAGTGCTGTCAACAGGCCAATGTTAAGCCTTCATGTTTTACCTCAAATAGATAGGAGGTTTTGCCACTGACTAAGTGGAGGCTTCGTGAGGAGTCAGTATCAGACTCTAGGTGGAAGTGGTTATTTCTACAAGGTGTTGATGGTTGCCTCTCTCTGCTTGCTGCGATAACTGCTCACTTCCACTTTGCACCTCTTCCTTTACACCTTTGGTCAGAGGGTTTAGCACCAAGCTGTAGTTTCTGGTGATTTTGATAAGGGTCCTGTATCTGCCTCTCGTTCTTCAGTGGCTTCAGTGTTTGGCACTCACCAGCTTAGGTATGCAGTGGATTGCTACAACCCATCCCAGCTTTCTTGGCACCTAGTCTGAAATTCACCCCTACTCCTTACTCTTTTGTGGCCTCTGTCAGGCAGTGCTCAGCCCCATCACTACCCCGTGGCCGCCCCTTGCAGCCTTTCCGTGGTGGCTCCACCCAGGAATTGTGGATGATTGTGCCACCAGGTGCGGGATCGACTTGCAGTGCTGACACTACTCGTTTCTTCAGCTTGCTGCGGAGTACATTGCGCAGCTTCTGACGGGTAAAGGCATAAAGGAGTGGATGGAAGATGGTTGTACCATAGGCCATGGCCAGGAAGCAGATGCGCAGCTTGCCCAGCAAGGGGCTAGGCCCGAGGCACAGAATAAGCAGGTTGGCAATGGACAGAGGTGCCCAGCACAACAAGAATGTTGAGATGATTAGCAGGGACATGCGGAAAACACGCCTCTGGCGCTCTCTCCGGTCACGGTGGCGCTTCACTGCCCGACGCAGTGCGATGATCACAGAGACAGAAGCCTGTACACCCATCGGGGCCGGAGTTTGGAGCGTGGGCATCGGCTGGGACAGCCTCTTGGTTTCTCCTGCACTGATCATGCTGCTGCTGCTACTCAGCTCTACTGCTTTCCGTCGCTTCCTCTTTTTCGTCTTGCGACGCTGGCTGCGCTTAAAGGTTCTGCCAATGCTGATATTGAGAGCTTGCAGGATCTTGGCGTAGGTCACCAGCATGACCGCCATGGCTGCAAAGAAAGTGGGGATCTGGATGGCAAGGTGGTAGGAGGTGCCGAGCTCAGCGTGGAACTCTTCTGGGCCAACACACAGCACAGTACGATTTTGCCACACGCTGGCATGTCCAAACTCGCCCTCAAGGAAGGGTATAAAAAATACTGTCAGGGACAGCACCCAGACTCCAGCCAGGAGTAGAATAGCACGGGCTGGAGTGAGCACACGCTGTGCGGGGCGAACTGAAATGTCGTAACGGTCCAAGCTGATCACTAGGACGTTGGTGGCTGTTGCCACACTGCTGAAGGTGATGCAGGCCTCATGGAAGCAGCAGAAGAGGGTGGCAGCACGATCAGGTGGCACCAGTATGACCACCATGGTGAGGGGTGCACACACCACACAGATGAGCACATCTAGTACATGCAAGTTCATGGTCACCATGTTGCTGACCGAGTCAACTAGGCCAGCTTGCAGGCAGTAGAGAACCAATACTGTGAGGTTGCTGCTAACCCCCAGAACGATTTCCAACATCAGGAAGCCTGTCAGGGAGACCTGGAAGCCCAGTGGGTAGGGCAGGGACCAACTGGGGTCAGGGGTTACCCCGTCTGTTGTCTCCAGGATGGTGTCAAACATGGGACTCTCCATGGCTGAAAGAGGCAGAAGCACGTGGGCATAGTCCTTGTACTGAGCTGAGCGTTACAGACAGCAACCTTACCTGTGAGAGGAGGGAAGGAGGGAGAGAGAGAAAGAGAGAGAGAGCATCAAGTACCATAAAGGTAGCATTTATTTTTTTCAGTAACAGACTTTGCACTAAGCCCAAAAACCTGCCCTGAAAATATCATCTTAAACATCACAATGAGGCCAAGTTCAGGCAAGATGTTATTCCTGGTTGTGGTATTGATTCATTTTCTGGGTTCCTAGGATACATGAAGCCACAAGATGGATTGGGTTTGCACAATGTATTCCAATAAAGCACCCAATATTAAAAGTAATGAAGCTTAGCATGTTGTACACATGTGGCTGCTAAGGGCTTAACAGCCTGCTTCTGTTTGTTGTGTGAATGAAACCAAATAATCCTGCAGAAAGGTGAAATTTTAAAAATGTGAAACATTTTGGCACCATCATTTGATAAGATGATGCAATCTGTGCATGTATTTTTTTTTTTTTTTACTGCACACAAATGCCTTTTCTGTAGAAGAAGACTTACAGGAACAAGCATTTTGAAGTTTCTCTATAATTCAGGATCATTTGATCCCCCTTTTCAAGGAAGAGGTCATCACTCATTTTCCTTAGCAAGACATCACCTACTTTTACTTAAGAAACACATAAATATAGACAGACAAATGCTTACAGTTGGAAAACACATTGGTTATGTATACTCACGGAGACTTGAAACTGCCTATCATCCATGCCTTTTTGCAGAGTCAGCCAGCAAAATCTAAAACCCATACTAAGCTGGGCATGCTCACAACCCTTTCACAGAATCACTCAGCAGCAATTGAAATTCATCCACTCAGAGTTTTCTGTACAGTATACTGTACCTGGATCCATTCGCACCTGTACTGACTGTGGAGTCACAAAGTGAACTTTTAATTGGAATCCACACCTTACAGGGCTTTTCACAGAAAAAAATTCCACAGCCAAATTAAAAATCCCCCAAGTATATCTTCAAATGGTTTCAGCATCATAAAACATATAAGGAATGGTTGCTGGAATTGGGTATGTCAAGTTTAACGAAGAGAAGGAGGAGGGGGGACATGATAGCAGTGTTCCAATATCTCAGGGGCTGCCACAAAGAAGAGGGAGTCAAGCTATTTTCAAAGCGCCTGAAGGCAGGACGTGAAGCAACGGATGGAAACTGACCAAGCAGAGAAGCAACTTAGAACTAAGGAGAAACTTAGTGAGAACATTTCATCATTGGAACAACCTGCCTCCAGAAGTGGTGAATGCTCCAACACTGTAAGATTTGAAGAAGAGAGTGGACAGCCATGTGTCTGAAATGGTATAGGGTTTCCTGCCTGAGCAGGGGATTGAACTAGATCATCTCCAAGGTCCCTTCCAATATTATTATTACTATTTTATTATTATTACTACTACTACTACTACTATTATGGATCATCGCACAGTCAGCCAGATGTTCAGACTGGATTTGGTATTTTGTCTACCTATCGTGTCCTTACCCAGGACCTGGGATAGGCAGATGTGGATGTTTGATGGTATTACAGGTATCGTCGCAGGATGGAAGCAGTTCCTAGTAAGGTCGCCTTTTGCAATTGACTAATGGCGAATTTGTCAATGCCAATGGTGTTCAAGTAATGCTCTAATTGTTTTGAGATTGCACCCAAGGAGCCTATTACTACTACTACTACTACTACTACTATTATTATTATTATTAATGGAAAGGGAAGAGGCAGACACAAAAAGTCTCTGAAAGTGATAGGAATGAGTGGTCCTTGGTGCTCTGAGTTTGGTTGTTTTCTTGCAGACATTTCATTACCCAAACTAGATAATGTCATCAGTGCTAGTAAGGAGTGGGTTTCGCTCTCAATTTATATTGTAGTGGCTTGCCCTGTCAGTGTTGGTGGGGGTGATCTTAGTGGGATTTTTTTTTTGGTTGGGATGTTTACTGTTAGCTTATTTGCAGTTCCTTAGTAACTGGCAGGGATGCACTGCAAGAGATTGCCTGCCTCTCCTTCTCATGCTTCTGTTCCAAATTACGGCACCAAATTGCTGTGACCCAAATCAGGCTCACTTAAAGCAACCAAATCACTTCGAAGATACAATGTAAATTTATTAAGAATGTATAGGCAGTCCTCAACTTACAACCACAGTTGTAACCAAAATTTACAACAGAAACCAATTTTTTTGCTGCTAAGAAAGACAATTGTTAAGTGACTTTTGCCCCATTTTATGATCTTTCTTGCCACAGTTGTTAAGTGAATTACTGCAGTTAGAAACATGGCTGTTAAGTAAATCTGGAGTCCCCATTGACTTTGCTTGCCAGAAAGTCACAAAAGGTGACACCCCCCCCCCCAGGACACTGCAGCCATCCTCAGTTGCCCAGTGTCTGGATTTTGATCACATGACCATGGAGATGCTACAACGGTCATAAGCGTGGAAAGCGGTCATAAGTCACTTTTTCCAGTGCCCTTGTGACTTTGAATGGTCACTAAATGAACTGTTGTTAAGCTGAGGAATACCTGTATACAAGGACAGTGTCCACTGCATTCCCAGCAAAGTACTGGCAGCTCCCGAAACAGTTCTAAGCAAAAGCAGAAGCAAAGCTTATATACCTTCGGTCTATCGGTTTGCCAAGACAAGTTAAATTCTGTTGGAATGTTTTTGATAAACCCGTTTGGGTCACATTATTTATCCCTTCCTTCTAGGTTGGTATCTATCGCAGTAATCTTGACCCACAAAATCCTGTCATTGACAAAAGGAGAGAGAGAGAGAGAGAGAGAGAGAGAGAGAGAGGGAGGGAGGGAGGGAGAGAGAGAGAGAGAGAGAGAGAGAGAGAGAGAGAGCGCATCACTTATTCTTAAGTAACCCGCGTGGATTGAAAACTTGAGAACCTTATTCAACTTAATTAATATTAACATTAATAATTTATTATCACAGTACCCGATTAAAGGTCAGCATGGCAGCTGTACATGTTTTAATTTATTTATTTATTCCAGCTCTGAGGCCAGATACAAACAAGATATTGAATAAAAGAAGTATTATGTCCTTCTCTATGTATGGATACAGTATCTGTTTAGGGGAGATAAAACAATAAAGGAGTCTAACAATAACTAAGAACATAATTACTAAAATAAGTAAAAAATAATAATATTAGAGGAAGTTCCAACACTAAGTAAGGTGCAGCGTGTCGTACAAATGGTAGCACAGAACCCGGTGACTTGAGAGGCTATTTTCAAGTTCTCATCTGAAAGAAGCAGCATTAAATAGAAATCACATTCCTGACCTGGACATATCTTCAAGACAGGACATATGTGGGTATCGCAGCTATATAGGTAGTCCTCGACTTACAATCATTCATTTAGGAGCCGAAGTTGCAACGGTACTGGAAAAAGTGACTTACAACTGTTCTTCGCACTTATGACCGTCACAGCATCCCTACCATCATGTGATCAAAATTTATTTATTTATTTATTTTATTTATGAGACTTATATACCGCTTTAAGTGCAAGCACTCTCTAAGTACACCAGTAAGCAATGTATATATATATATTTACATTGCCCCCAACAATCTGGGTCCTCATTTTACCTACCCCAGAAGGATGGAAGGCTGAGTCAACCTTGAGCCGGTGAGATTTGAACCGCTGACCTGCTGAACACAGTCAGCTAAAGTGGCCTGCAGTACTACACTCTAACTGCTGCGCCACCTCGGCTCTTGATAACCAGCATCTACTTACAATAGCAGCAATGTCTCGGGGTC